AGAAATTTCGTCACGATAAGCCTGCTGATACGTTCTGTACCTATGAATATGCCGATAAAAATGTTTGTAGCGTAAGTTTTCCCCGCCTAGCTTTGTAACTCAACACATTAGCATTTTCTAGAAGTAAACATGCACAATATTTCTCAATATAACAAAAAATCAATCTCTTCCTATTTTGCCCTTCGTTTGCGCGACACTTGCATTTTCCTATGACAAACGAAAGAACTATCAGTAATTTTTTCATTGTGTTAGCTTAGATCATTTGGACGACGAGCTTTCTCCGTCGAAAAGCTGAAGAAATGAGTCCATAGTCGCCTTAAAAACAGCCGTATGCATTTCACAGAGCCCTATTGAGAACTATAAGGATGCAGCAGCACTTTTTTAAAATGTTTTCCCCGAAGCAATGCATACCCTTTGCAATTTCGATTTCATAAGGTTCACGATTCTATTGAGATTTTTTTAGGATAGAGGGGGTTGGTCATGGGGATAGCAGGAAATGTTCGATACCTATGGGCAATTACCACTAAATCGAGAGCCCCTTCTCCCTCTTCTGATCCCCGCGCTCCTTTTGCTAGCTAGTGACTGTTACAATTTGCTATTAATGGCTGCGAATTGTTTCTACAAATTCAAGTTTAAGCTTTACTAATAAGATTTGCATTTTGCTGCTTGCATCTATCACGTAGAATCACATTTTCTTGAGAGCAAGGGCGATTTGGGAGTTGTTACTGTCTCTGTTCCAATATAGTCAGGAACTATCTAGACGCGTTCAAAAGACTGCATTCAGTCGATTTTATCCTTGGGACTGACACAATAGAAGCTGGATAAATTGTAGTAGATATAAGAATACAACAATTGTGCTTGAATTTTCTCTAAATTTTTTTAAATTTAGGGTGACAGCGGAGGAGGTGTGATAGCGAAACTAAATGGCAGGAGCTACATATTGGGCGTTGTTTCTCATGGCTCTGCATGTCGAGACCTCAGAGAGGGTTCGCGTCCTAGAGCACAGGCAAGATAATGAAGCAATCGCACAATGCTTTGATAAATTGATGACAATTTCTTGAGGTGATGACTGATGTCATGTACTACACAGCTGATATTGATAGTGTCATTGGTGCAAGAACCATAGACAGAAAACTTCGTTGGGAAAGTTTTAGGAAGGACAAAGAGTAAAATTCATAGTTTACAGCTGTGATATATGGTTGTTGGTGTATAAAATGTGAAATGAATGTCAAATCTTAAGCGGAGAAATTTCTTTAAAATAATGGTTTAATAACTTTCACAATGGTTCTGTCTATCCCGCAGTTGTCACTTCATATTTGCCGGAAAAAGATCGTAATCTCATGAGGTATGCATAGCGAAATACATCCACGTCCTTCAAATATTTGTTCCTTTTCGAGCAATACCTTTACTTAAGATTATTTGCTATGAACGGCGAAAAATGAGGTTAACTCCATCTAATCCTATTCTTATTAATCCTATTGTTTACCTCCCTAACTTGTGAGTAAACAAATGTCTGTTTATAGACGAACTCATAAGTTCTCATTGTCCAAGATTTGTGCGGAAACGAGCTCAGCCTGTCCTTCTTACTTTTTTTTAGCTTTAATTAATTATTATCGAAGTTTCTTGGCATTATCATTGCCAAATAGGGAACAATTTTATGTTCACCTTCTCCAAGAGGTGCTAAATAGTTGTTAGAGCGAATTGGACAAAGGTTTACCTTAAAAACAACTCGAGCACTAAAGGCACAACCCCTTCAAGGAACAACTTGACATTACTTACTATTCGATGAGTGTTTGCACCGAAATGTCATTTCGCGGACGCCAACCGTAAGGTACTCACTTGCCTTGACCCTCATTCTCCTCAATCAACGCTACCTCTTCATGTACTTTCGCATTGCTTGCACAGTTCTTTTCACTCATAAATCGTTCTAAAAGGTTTCCAAAATTGTATTTTTTCTTAATAAAATATATGGAAAAAAGTTAGCAGTGCGAAATTGAATATCATAAGTGACAGTTCAAAAAAGAGGGATTGCTTAAAAAAAGC